TCCATCGCAGAATAAGTAGTTTCAATGAAGTTTGAAAAATATGGCGCATGTTAATTATGGTGCATGTTAATTGTCGCATAACGTCACCGCCATACAGCAAGGCAAGGCTATACAGTAAGGCAATGCAATGCAATTGGCACATCCTTGGGGATTTTCACCAAAAGAAAAGAAAAGAATGAAGTTTTCTGCGAGAAGCTCTGAGGTGCACCGATGTAGAGGGAATACCGAACCATTATGGGTCTAATTTGTTTTTGTTTGTTTTAAGTTTTTGTTTTTCTTCCGCTATACAATAGGATAATTATGGCGCATACAGAAGACTGCTTCAAAAAGTAGGTCGTGGTAGTTGTAGTGTTGATATTACTCCATACTTGATATGTCTTTAAATGAGCTGTGTTTTTTTTTTTCAGTTGGAGATATCTTCTTCCACAATAACTCCGTGACTTCTACATCAGCTCTCACAACTCCAGGCTATCTTGGTAATTTGTTTTTTGCCGCCCCGGTCCCACCACACCCCATCCATTTCTACGATTTTTGACATATTATTACCTGCTTTTTATGATATAAGAACGAACTGAGCCTATGTTCAAAACTAGTGATATACATTTTGAATGTTTAGCGCTATTGACATGTTTGCGAACATGTTATAAATTAAAAGTTCGGTCAAAAAATATGGCTGTAAGTTGCTGTATTTTTTATGGGCTATAATATTGTATGTTAAAAGACTCCATGTATCTGTAAATGAATTTCATTTAATTTTATTTTTTTAAGTTTCAACACTCCCACGGCTAGCATTTAGAGAGTGTCCCATTCTTGATGTTTTGAGACACTTGGGGTTGGAAACTATATTAACAGACTTGAGAGCGGGCACGTGCTTTGACGGTAGGCATGCGGCCTCAGAAGCTGTACCTATGAAATTATGTGGAACTCCAGATCCATCAAAATGGAGGCCGGGGCTTAAGGTAATATGACGACCATCTATTCTAATCACACAATTCACGTAAACTGCAAAACTAGTTACAAAGTAATTTAATTCAACCGACTGATTTTTTTTTTATTGAAATTACAAGTCTAACAAAAAAGCAATAAACGCAAAAGAATGGCGAGTCACAATAGGTTACATGATTGAATGTCTGATGTAAATATTGTTTGAAAATATATGTCGTGCCTTATTGGTTTGAACTTCAATGATAAAATTGCGGCCTGTTTGGTAATGATCTTTCAAAACATGCAACCAGTCGAAATCTCGAGTACAGTTTTATTTCGGAGAGGCCAGGGTTCTTCTCTATTCGCTAAAAACCGTAAAATGAACCACGTAGAATCAGAAATAATTCTTTTCTCAGTTTACCCTGCGTGACATACTGCTATATTAACAAATAAGGTACAAACACACACACACACACACACACACACACACACACACACATATATATATATATATATATATATATATATATATATATATATATATATATATATATATATATATATATATATATATATAACACTACTGCTTGGTAGAATCGTCATTTTCTTCACCTTGTCGACACAATTCCCCGAACAATTATCAATAAAATATCTTCCACACAAATTACTGAACAGTTTTTTGCTTTGGATGTTGTAAGCGGATTTATTTGGATTCAAAAGTTAGAAAATATTAATAGAATACGATTGTCCCGCCACCTTTTTTTATGATCAGTGAGACAACAGTATCGGCTACAATGAATTAAACGCAGAACTTGACCCCACGTTGCATCTTCGTTAGCCAAGGTACCGATGTGTTAAACCTATCTACACCTTGACGGATCGTACAGATATTTCAGATCTTTGTCCTAGTGACATCTATTGCATTTCATGAAATATCTCTTTTAGTATATAATGCCAACTAACCAATAGTGTGTGACAGCGGTGCGTAGTAGTCTACTGAAAATGGCGGAGATAATTGACTTCAAAAGGATACTTTGTAAGTTTAACATCAAACGTATGACTATATAGGGTGTATTTGTACAAACATGGAGAGGAAATGGAAATTACTTCTATATGGGTCCATTCCAGATGTGCGCTCCACTTGTCTCGATTTTGTAAAAACGGTGTTCAAATTTGAACAACGTGATTGGATTTGATGCGATGGCTAGCCCCCGTATCGAATGAAATTTATAAACGCATGCACCGAAATAACTGAACGATCTACCAAGGTGTAGATAGGCTTAATACATTGAAACCTTGGCTAGCATAGATGAACTATGGTGTGGCAGAAGTACAGACGAACAAAGGTAACGGTATATGGCCCTTCCATATTCATAGCATGGCATTCAAAAATAATTTTCAGAATTGTAACGGCGGTATGTGATGATTTTCGAAAGAATCAAAATTTATACGATTTAAGTGTCAACCACTTTTATATATTAAGAGGCTAATACTTTCCCTACTGATATTCTCGCTGGAGAGACGAGAGCTATCTGAGACTTCCTCTACTGATATTTTTGCTGGGGAGGCGAGAATTTGCTAAAGGCAAGCTACCATATTTTAGGTTCATTCATTAATCAAGGCAAACTTATCAGAAAGATTAAAATAAAAACTTAGATGCATATTGACTAAGACCCAGATTTGTGAAAGTTCACTAATCATTCGTTTCACTATAGAAATTCTCAACATATGTCGTGAAAATCACAAAACATATAGGTACTAGATTATTTTGCTGCAGATAATCGAATTAGTGTCGGATAATACATATATTCCTGTTCGATGTACAAGGTTTTTCGGCGGTAACTATATCATTTTGCATTGGAAAATAAGATTTATATAAAAAAAAATTCCAAGTGCAAGCCAGTTATGATTCTCTCGTGGTAGTACGAATTAGTGTCGAGTAATATACATATATCTGCCAGTGAAGGTAAATATACATTCTTTGAAGTTTTGTGAATTTCGAACGCAGCTGCTACATTATGGACACGTTTCTAACTAAATTTCAGAACCAGTGCAACAAAATGTTACGACCCATTAATCTTGGAATGTTCATCCGAAAGAAGCTTTTATTTCATTAATTTAAATAGTCCAGGGACAGTAAGTCAAAATTTAGTTGAAAGGTACTGAACCCCGTAGATTTTTCAGATGATTCCTTAACAGCAAACTTCAGTAAATGGACATCCTTGTGCCACTCTTTCCGTGTCTCAGAGCAATGTGAGCTAATCATATTCTTTTAGTTTGATGAAATCCTTCCGAAGTCCCTTCATCTTCAGGATGATGGACAGAAGATTTAAATTGTTGAAAGCCTAATTTATGCATAAATTGTTGGAAAATTCCAAACATAAATAATGGCCCTTGATCGGATTGTACAGATTTGGAAAGGACAAAAAGTGTTAAAAGAAACAATGTATCGAAGCATTTACAATGATTTGAATTTTAAAATTCTTCAAAAGAATTGCGACTGAAAATCTTGTGTACGCACACATTATGTTCAACAGGTATTGGTTACCTAACTGATGTGCTATGTAAGGGACCGACAGTCTACTATTATTGTACTAAATGGTTCAATAAATCCAGAAATAGGTTGCAAATGAGCCTAATGTATATTCTAATTGGGGTTTACTGTCATTTAAACAGTCTTATATTATCTACAGTACTTAAAACATCATTTTTAAATTTCGGCGAATAAAAATGATTCAAGATCATGTAATAAGTCTTATTGACTCATAAATGATCTACCAAATGGCTATACTAAGAGTTTCCTGTCGATATGACCCTGGAACAGTAATATGATAGCTTAATGACAGATCACCAGCGAGTTCCTCATGTGATCGCCATTGTCTCACAAGGATCCCATTGGTTTTAGAAATTAAGAAACTGGGATTTGTGTGGCTTCATTTTCAGATATAGGCGTCTGAACAAAGTGGAGATCTCAGAATCTTGGTCCGGTCTGACAATTAATTACTGTCTTTTGTCATCCTGATTAGAATAGAGGATAAGTAGTAAAATGAGGATAACTGAGATTAATACCTCTTAAATGATCAATACCAGGAAAATTCATTCAGCGCTTCAAAATTTTGACAAATAAATATGTGTCAGCTAAAGAAATAATTTCCTGATCTACAACATTCTCAAGAGCTCTTTTTGTCATAGCTCAGGTAACTGCAGGGACAGGATATAAATTAGAAATTTCATTCTTAACAGAATCGACTATTTTTTTTTATCCAGACGAGGTGCATCATTTGTAATTGGATTAACGACAATCTTATCTCCAGCTAGGCAATCGCCACGAGTAAATAAGTAACAGCTCCGACGGTCACGGGTTTTGAGACCAAGTCTAATGCCAAATTGACTTAATGTAGAGGAGCACTAACGCAACACTATACTCCCTAAATTAAGAACACTATCACTAGAAGACTTCACAGACAATGGCAAAGTACCTGATAATTAAAACGTATGAGAAGCTTCTGTCACTTAATATTTTTGGCATGGAAAGGCTCATATAATCACCAACAAGTGATATGAAACATTTTGACATAAATGGTTTATAATTTTCCATAATAAAATCAGACTGCGGTTGTTTGACTCAACCAATGTATATGTTTTCAATTTAAAAAGTGACCTTGACCTCTTAGAAATAAGAGCATTTGCAATAGTGCTGTCTTTATTCCGTTGCTTATTTCAATCTGTATCAATCCAAAACAACGTGCAATTTCTTTTTACAATAAGTGCACGTAGGAAGGCATATCGAGTTCTGTTCAGTCTTATCAGAAAGTTTGATTCCTAACAGTTGTGCCAGATTGAGATTTGGAAGTACTCACTCTCTTAGATTTAAAATCAATCATTCACATCGCAGGAGTGGACTTATTAGCCAACTGTCATTCAAGAAATTTTAGTACGTAACTATTTTTGGTGACTTCAGTAAGAGAACGATGTTAGTCGCGGAAGGCTCCTATGAATTTTATCGAAAAAAGAAGGATATAATGTCCACGCACAACTGGAGTTAAGTGTGTCATTAAACTCATTAAAACAAAACCGCTTCGGTGGTCTAATGGTTAGAGCGTCTGCCTCGGATGCGGGAGGTCCTCGGTTCTATCCCAGGTTAGGTTCTATCCCCGGTCGAGTCATACCAAAGACTTATACAAATGGTACTAACAGCTGCCTCGCTTGAAGAGGTTAATGTTAGAACTTGTCGGCCTGGTATCAGGATAATGTGACTGGATGGAACATCATGCTACATGTCTGCGGCATGATGTCCCGGTGCTAGACATCACTATAGACTGCCACACTGCAGACGTCGTATCGATATGATAGAAAAATAGTTAAAGCTACGTTAAGAACCATAATCACGTCACTAACTCAATAAAGCATTAAATGTAGGTCACAATGAATTACTTCTTTCGTCACTCACGGTATGATGCTAGGAGATACACGTCATTATCGACTCAGCAGTATTCTAGCATGAACAGTACCTGGGAGATAAACATGAAACACCAAATTGTAACCTAAATCATTGAAGCACAAGAAAGAGGCCATACTAATCAAACGTCAACCATCAGGGACTATTGCTCTTTAAGATGCATCCTAGCATCTATTTTCATGATTCTAGATGATAGATAGTATCCGCGTTTTAATGAGCTAAAAACAAATACTGACCTAGAGCCGAAAAAAATGTCGCAGTGGCATTTTATTCTGGCACATGTGTTATACTTAAAGAAATGGGTACAATCGTCTAGTTTAATGATTCAAGCATGAATAATTAAAATACAGTTTAAAAAGAATCAGTGAAGCGTAAAATGTGTGTCACAGATACTTGCTTTTCGCATGAGTGTGTAGTACTCTCTAAAGATGCACCGGCTCACTAAATTTCATGATTTCAGTACAGGAGTATCTATATAGACTGTACACAACCGAAAGCTGGAGGCAAAAATTGAACCTAAATAAAATGTAAAATCTTGGTCACACAGCGCCTTTCATTAGCCGGAATGGATTGGTACTGATTGGAGCGCATGCAATCTAATTGACATTAAGTTGGTTACTTATTCATTATTCCCGATTGAATAAGGAATGAGCAACAACTTATCGATCCAATAAAGAATAAATAACCAGTTACTTATTCCCGATTTTAACTGCCCAATAGACACTTGTTTAAATTAACATCATCTAGTTAGGTGTTTAGTTTGTACAAAATATTAGTAGAATTGATCCAGATTGTGTGTGTTTTCATACCCGGTACCCATATGCTTCTTTCTCCGTTTCCAAGGACGTCAAGACAAACAACAGTCAATGCAAACTGAAGACCTCTTAAACTCGTAAATACTCCAGGTAATTCTGTTCTAAGCATATTATGACTATACAAAAGAAATCTCCAATTTCACAAATAGTAAACTTTTAAAAGCCGAACACAAATACATCACACCAGATATAAAAAGATGTCTAACTAGCAATTAATCCTATCTCAAATTCAGCTTTATATAGCTGTTACCAAAACAACACTAGTGTTTCTCCAATAATAGCAATGATATACTTGAAGAGTTTTTAATCGTCAATAAGTAAGTGGTATTACTTAATGAATTGGAAATAAGGAATAAGTAGCCAACTGAATGTTGCGTGGTGGTATAGTTATGTTTATCTAGATGATGATGGACCACGTTGTTATTGCCCATATCGAAAAAATAATAATAAATAATAAAATAAAATATGAAATTTATAGTGGAATAAATTGAGGTTTGAGCAACAAAAGCACCCGTATGCAAAATATAAGAATTGTATTAATTATATAAACAAATAACATTAAACATGCCACTTAAATGATACACTTATTTAGAAATAATTGTCGAGTTTATGAAAATGCAATTACCATTCAGTTTATACCAAGACAAATTTTATAATGAAATCGAGTGAGCGATTGAACTCAACTGTCCAGCATATACCTGCGTAACATTGTAACAGGTCAAAGTGGACGTAATCTTTTCTCTCTTCTTTCCCTCTCTAGCCTTTCTCTGGACATCAACCCAAATTTGGTAGTTTCCGCGTTTTAAACACGGAGGTGACGTAGTTATCCCTTCTATTCATCCTAGCCATTCAAGTGTTTTATTTCCCGACGTAAATGTCTATGTGATATATCTTACCATCATGCTTTTGTATAGCAAAAAGGATGCACTGTGTTGAATATTAATGTAACCAATAGTGATGATGGGAAAAAGAATTCGTTCTTTTTCCAAAAGACTCTGTTTACCAGAAAAAAAGTAAATTCAAGCTGTGACATATAAAAGAGTGAGAGGATGGGAAATTTGTATCATTAATGCCCGATTATGGACAATTTTGCCTACGACAATTCGACCTAACTCGAAAGACAATTCGGTTCAACTTAGCAATAGTTTGAACAATTTCTTTTTCTTAAATCATTAATTAGATACTATGTAAGATACGTTTTGGAAATTGATATTCTTTAGAAGAAAACAATCATGCTTTGCAACGTACGTATATATGATAGAAAACACAACCAGCCATATCTTTTTTATTCTAATTAAAATATGTATAAACATTTTTATGCTAAAAATATATGCATTTGCACAAAGACATTCTCAATTTAAGTCTTCCCGTTAAATTATCAACATTCATTTATTAAACAATAAAACATATATAATTCTATAGAATATGTATACGTTTTCCTAACGGTAATGTACATGATATATTAAAACAAATATATTTAATTTTAAGCTTCACATTGTAACACTGCTGCATATATTACACACTCAATTACACATGAGAGAGAGAGAGAGAGAGAGAGAGAGAGAGAGAGAGAGAGAGAGAGAGAGAGAGAGAGAGAGAGAGAGAGAGAGAGAAATGTTGAGTATTTTGTCCATGATGCTGAAATATGAAGCTATTACAAGTTAATTTTATTATCGTCAAGCATATTTGCTCCATTATTCCATACAAATAAGAAAGGAATTATTTTTGTGTTGAATGTATGTCCCTTCCCCCTGCAGGGTACACAAAATTATAAATATACACTTCTTAGAAAATAAAATGTAAGAAACTAAATTTGCTTTGCTATCATTTATTTCTTCTTTTTTCATCATGCGAAATTTAATAAAGAAAAAAAGATGTACCCACAAACTCTGTGTATGTAGGGGTGCCGGTTTGCGCATGCGTCCTTACTGTAGAGTGTATCGCTTATGTAAAAAAAAAATCACAAAAGAGACGAAAATATCACCCGATTGCTTGAAAGCACCTGCCATTCACGTATGACGTTACAATTCGCAAATTGACCAAGATTCTATTGTATCCAGGTTAACTATACGAAGGTATCTGGCAAATAAAAATCATTATTTTAAAATACATGTACATCCACTTTGAGTGCAAATGATAATCTTTTTTGCTAGCATGTGTTACAAAAGTGGTATTAAAGCACTTAATTGTTGTGCATACTATTTGCGCTGCATATTTTAAATTATGACCACATCTGGGAAACAAATAGAAGCCCGGGTGATGGATAAACACAACTAGGAGCAAATAGTAAACTCTTTCCTTAAACTTTCCGACAGGATATCAAATACAAAGGTTATTTTATTACAAAGCAAACAACCCCGAAAACTGACTTTAGTATCTTTTAAGTGTGCCGATTTTTCTTATGAAGTTGGCTGACATAAGGAAGTGAAGTTTGGTTTCGTTTGGATTCTTTTAAATGTGCAGATTTTCTGGGTTTTTTTTAAAAAAAATAACGTCGGCAGATATTGAGAAGCCAATATTGATTCCTTTTCCCATGTATTAACGGGAATTTATCAAAATAAATGGAAACGATGGAAAAGTTTTGAAAGCGACACAATCTAGTGCGTCGCGCACGCATACCGCTGTACGGCTAAACAGTATAAATTAGTTATCAGTAGTTTCATCTACATGTTCCCTATCCATGGTTTATAAATTTTATTTTGCGACAGCAAGCAGAATGTACTTGGGCTTGTAGGGATAAATGTACGTCATTTCCGGCTGGCGTCCTCAATAGGTAGGAAATCCTTGCTAAGGGGTAGTAACTGCGTTGTATACGTCTTTTTTGAGTAATTAAATTATTATTTCTTCTTTACATTTGAAAATGTTTTTCTTTTCTTTTTGTGTGAGGATAACAACTATTAATCATGTAATGCAAATCTGATGTAGACAGAAAAATGTTGGAGTGTGGCAAGTAACCTTTAAGTACAATATCTGCTAACTAACAATTAATTGCCATAATATTTCTAGACGTAGTAATATAAATTCCTTACCTACATCATTAACATAATTTAAGGCGCATAATATCACATAATTCTCTCAGACTCGTACCAAAAAGTAAAGCATTAAATTCTTAGAATAAAGGAGTCATATACCATTCAAGACGAATGAATGCCAACAATTATCTTCCGAAATAAAACTAAAATTGATGTAGGAATTTAAAACAAATAAATTCATTCAACAAACAAATAAATATCAATTCATATAAAAGTACAATTTGTATAAGACTGAGCGAGATACATTTGCTACCGAGACCCGCTCGCTTTTATCGTAACAGAATCATCTTTACATTTAAGTTTCCTCAAACTTCCAGATACTGGTCCCTTGGACAATTCTCAGCGAGAAATACTTGCCATTCTCACTAAGCTAAGAACTTCTTGCATTCTTGCAGAATGTTTGACTGACCACTTTTGCGAGGGAAAATACTTAAACATTGAATTTCGTGTGGGAAAGGCACGCCTTAGTCAATCTAGTCTAAACTTATCGAAATTAGCACACGCCTATCCAGATTTGTGTAACACTTCATTCTGATTATTCTTAAAAAATGATTCCTGGAAAGTTTCATTTCCTGACACTTGCTTCAGCTGGTACAAAACTGTCTCTGAGTTTTCTTTTTTCATTTTGCTGGTACTTAGACACCCCCAATTCACCTAGCCTCTCCATCAATCTGACCGTTATCGAGCGGACACTAATTAAAATCAATCACGCCTCAAAACCGGCGACAATAAACCAATCGCAGTCTAGCTATTTATTACGTTCCTACGACCCATTCGTCTATATAATTTGTTACGTGTCACGCTGACAGTAAAATGTTCACCCATTTATATGGCCATAAAATCT